AGCCTGCTTCTCCCGCTCCCACTCCCCCCCTGCTTGTGTTCCCTCTCTCTGTCTCTGTGTCAAAATAAATAAATAAAATCTTAAAAAAAAAAAAAAAAAAAAGGAAGTGTTGGTAAGGGACTGTGTGGAGTTCTGTGGTCATTCCTTCAAGTACCCAGGGGAATGGGCCAGCTCAGCCCTTCTCTCAGGCTCTGAATGGAGTGAAGGGTCCTTGGTGGTTTTAGACCCTAGCTATGAAGATACAAATATGTGGAAGGGAAAGAAGGAAGGAGGGATAGAGAATGGAATAAGAGGAGATAACTTTTAAAAAAAAAATCCTCAGGAAATATCCATTGTTTCTTACCCTGGGTGACATCATTAGCACAGAGAACCACTGCTGCAAAAGTCCTTCTTTATCTCTCCTGGTACCTGAGAGCCCTTCTGTCTTCAGGATTCAGCTTCTTGATTTAAAGGTTGTTTTGTTTGTTTGTTTCCCTTAGAATATCTTTAGAGTGCCTTACATGTGACTCTCCACATACAGGATAAAGTCCAGTTCCTTAAATGGCATATAAGTCCTTTCATAATCTGACTTTTTTTTTTTTTTTTTTTACCCTAGCTTTGTTTGCTACAACTCCCCTGCACATATTTTGTGCTTTAGGTATATTAAAAACTACTCGTTGGGGCGCCTGGGTGGCTTAGTCTGTTAAGCTTCTGACTCTTGATATCGGTTCAGATCATGATCTCATGGGTCTTGGGATCGAGCCCTGCATTGGGCTCCGTGTCAGGGGAGTTTGCTTGGGATTCTCTCTCTCCCTCCCGCTCCCCTCCCCAGATATATCTTTAAAAAAATTACTTGTTTTCAGTGCTACCCTCTGCTTTCAATGTCCCTGCCTTAGCACATGCTGTTCACTTTTCCTTCTCTGCACTGACTTCAGCCTCTTGGCTATGATTGTGTTATAGCACTTATCACACTTTGTTGTGATGGCACCAGATTGTACATTGAAGTTGTCAGATGCACTTGATGTTTCCCTGTAATTTTTGATACGGAGGGAATTTTAAAATTGGTATAAATTTATTTGTATAGACTTTGATAATCCTAGCTTATCTGAAAGAATATACAGGAAACTGGTAATAGCAGTTACCTTTGGAGCAAAGACCTGGGTGTCTCTATAGTATATCACCTTTGGTACCTTTTAAACCCTGAACCATATACATATATTTATTTAGAAGAATATCTTATGTATGGAAAGTTAATTGATACGGTTAGCTTTATTTAGCTTGTGTACTAATTGGTATTAATAGTCCTGTATTAGTCAGGGTTCTTCAGAGAAGTAGAACCAGTAGGAGATAATATGGAGATCTGCTGCCTCACAATTGAGGTCAAGTCCCATGATCTGCCCCCCGCAAGCCGGAGACACAGGAGAGCTGGTGGTGTAATTCTAGTCCAGGTCCAAAGGCCTGAGGACCTGGGAACCAGTGGTGTCAGTAAGTCCCAGGGAGGAGAAGACCCATGTCCCAACTCAATCAGGAAAGCAGAACAAACACTCCCTTCCTCTACTTTTTATCTCTTGGGCCCTCCATGGGTGGGATAATGCTCACCCACGTTGGGGAGGGCAGTGTACGGGGCTGAGTCCGCTGATGCACATGTTAGTCTCCTTTGGAGACACCCTCACAGATACACCCAGAAATAATGTTTCATCTGGGCACCCTGTGGCCCAGTCCGGTTGCACGAAAAATTAACTGTCACAGGCCCTGCACAGAGAAGACGCATTAGGTGCAGATACTCGTTTTGATACAGATTTTTCCCTGTTCGGTAGGTTCACACTCCTAGATTTGTCAAAAACAGTGTGGTGTGTGGCCCAAAGGAGTGAATAATCATAGCTGTAGCTAACACCTCTTGAGGATATATTGTATGCTGGGCACTATTCTAAACACTTGAAGGGTGTTAATTCCTGCTCTCTCAGCCTCTTTTGGCAGGTGCTACTCTTACTCTTACCTTTTACGTACTAGGAAATGAGGGTCAAGAGGGGTGGCTTGCCCTTTTGTGATGAGCACTGGCTGTTAGATGTAAGTGATGAATCACTACATTCTACTCCTGAAACCAATACGACACTCTGTGTTAACTAACTTGAATTTAAAGAAAAACTTGGAAGGGAGGAGAAAAAAAAAAAGGGTGGCTTGCTCACACAAGGACACATGGTAGTGTTGGGATTCCAACCTGGGCACTTTGGTTCCAGACTGGCTCTTAACTATATTCTGCCACTCAGATAAAAATTAAGATGGAGTTCTTAATCCCTATAATGTTATAATTTGTTATATTTGCTGTAACAGTTGCTGCATGTGTAACTTCACTGTGCTGTTTTTATCAGATGGCATCTGTTTAATACTTATAAAAATGGACATTTTAAAATGCGGTTCAAAGAAGTATACTTTTTTCTTTGTATATTCTGTATATTCTTACTGTTCAACAGGGATTTACCATGACCATTTGGGTATAGAATGGCAGATGATTTTGCAGTCTCATGCTTGAGGTGAGATTAGGATATTTTAAGGGTCCATCTGCTCAAGGCTCTGAATGATTCAGGATTCTATCAGATTAGGAATTTACCAATTTTTAAGGCAGAGGCTTCTCTCAGTTCGGTGGAATAAGCCATGTGTGACATGAAGGTTCAGCCAAGACTTTGAAAGCCTTTTCCAGTGCTGAGATTGTGACTCCCTGTTGGGTTAAAATATTGCTTTCAGTTATATTAGATCATATATAGCTTTAACTTTCTTTTGGAAATGTAACTAAAACTTTTTCTATAGTTCTATTTAACTTATAACAATTTACTAACCCAGAAATAATTGTGTACTAAAATGTATCCAAATTACTTGTAATTGTGTGTTTCTTTTTTTTTTTTTTAACGATTTTATTTATTTGACAGAGACAGTGAGAGAGGGAACACAAGGAGGGGGAGTGGGAGAGGGAGAAGCAGGCTTCCCGCCGAGCAGGGAGCCTGATGCGGGGCTCGATCCCAGGACCCTGGGATCATGACCTGAGCCGAAGGTAGACGCTTAAGGACTGAGCCACCCAGGCACCCCTGTAATTGTGTGTTTCTTTAAAAGGATTAGCTTGTACAATTTTAGAATAGTAAGAGAACCTTATTAAATAGTTTCCCCTTAGAATGTTATCAGTTTATATGTGGGAGTAAAGACCTACAGAGATTGATTTGCTTCAAGTCAGATAGGTTATCGTTAGTGGCAAAGCTGGGCTTAGAATTGAGGTCTCTAGCTCCCCACAGAATGGAACTACTCTATTATGAGGATTCAGCTGCTTCAAAATATGGTTATTCAAACTTAACAGTGTATTCAACTAGCATAACCTGCTTGGTCTGGGAATCTTTGGATATAAGCATAATTAGTTTCTATTCTGAGTTATTGAAAATACCATTTAATGCCCAACAAAGATGGTGTAAAAATTATATCAAACTTTCCTTTGATAAACAACTCATGACATTTAGAATTTCTCTGAATTTAGAATATGAATTATTGAGTAAGTGGTCAAGCAATTCTATCTAAAATTTTTTAGCATTCAGAAATATCATTTGAAGATTATCTTTTGGCAAGAGAATTTATATAGTCCACTTATGATTTACCGAACCTAATCAGTTGATGCTTTAACAGAGTAATTATAGGGCCAGATCCTACCAGATGAGTTTAGTAGCAACCTGGTTGTAGATGAACAAATGTATAATATTTAATACTACTCTAGGAAGTAATGTTTTTTAGGATCACGTCCAGTGTTGTGGGAAAGCTTATTTTCCAAAGTGACAGTAACAGTTTCTTATGTGTGTTTTTTCTCTCTTTAGACTTTTGATAAAATTCTTATTGCTAATAGAGGAGAAATTGCATGTAGGGTGAGTAGAATTTTAATCTTATTTTCCATTTTACTTTGTGAATTTTATTATTAAATCCCTTTAAATCCAAATCCTTGTTAATAATGTTTATGTATTTTAAAATAGGTTATTAAAACTTGCAAGAAGATGGGCATTAAGACGGTTGCCATCCATAGTGATGTTGATGCTAGTTCCGTAAGTATATTTTTGCTTTACTTGAAACAGGACCTTATTTGTAGTTAAAAAAAGTAAGTCCCCCCCCCACCCCCGGCCTGAAAAGGATATACACAATTACAAAAAAAATCTAATTATTCACTCCTGTATTAAGCAAAATGGAAGCATCATAATGTCTTTAATATGTGTCTAAACTTTTTTCCCAAGGTTTTAAAAACCTAGAGTTTAAAAATTGCTGGACTAGTTGCTGACCATGAAGTAGATGTGAGCAAAGCTTGAGGAAGTTCCATTCACAGATTGATGAGATGTTTATACCGTGCTGCCTTATGAGAGCACATTTTCCCACAGCTGAATTCCAGTTAATTGTTTAACCTTCCTAAGTGCTTCGTGTTCAGCTGAAGTTTGATAAAAGAACGATAGGCTAATACTAATTGGACATGAACACAAGGAGTAGTATAAAGCAGTGAATGATACATAATTTTATTGGGGATTTTTAACCACAGCAGGCATTTTTAGCAGTAATAAACTATGAAGGAGTAGAAAAAAATGCCATGAGAAAAGAATGTAAATTATTGGAACTTTGGGGGATGAAATATAAGTAGTTGTACTTTAAGTTAGTGTTTTTCATTCTTGCACACTAATTTTGGTAACCGTACCTATTGGTAATGTCAGCTTTTATTGTATAGTAATACAATACAGAGGATTTTCAGTATTTGTGATTTCTTGTTTTATCTAGAACTATGTTCATTTAGCTTTATTGTGACTGTCTTCCTTTTTTTAAAAAAGAAGGGAACCATTGGAAGCTTCTCTAAGTTCCTGAAAATAAAGGTTAGGTATTTATCTTGTTTATTTGACAGATGCATTTAAAATAGCTGTTTACTTAAAAGCAATTAAATCAAGCAATTAAACTTATTTTGTGTATATAGTTTTTTTGTTTAATATTGGTTTCTGGCCTCTTTACTAATAATTTGTTTTAACTGATAACTTCAATAGTAGTTTATATTCCTTACAAGATATTCATGAAATAATGAGAAAACTGTTACTTTAGTCTCTTTCTTGATCATTAAACTAAGGCAATTATCAACAGCAAACTCCTTTAGAAAAAAGTTTGTGTCACCATCAGGCTAGTAATAGATTTAAAATTCCTTCTTCTTGGGATGCCTGGCTGGCTCAGTTGGAGTGTGCGACTCTTGATCTTGGGATTGTGAGGTTGAGTCCTATGTTTTGTGGAAAGATTACTTAAAAAAATCTTAAAAAAAAACAACAACAAAACCAACCCTCTTTTTGTCTTGTGTTCATTTTGATTATGTTAGCTCGTGAGGTGTTTTCATTCATGGATAAATTGAGAGAGAAAAAGGTTTGAATTGTGGACAGTCACTGTTTTTACATCAAGTCTGATAGTAACCTTTCACTTACTTTTCTCATATCAAAATACAGGTAGTTCTCTATTCTGTGTTCTCATGAAGATGACTGTTGGCATGGATTGTCCAAAATTATTTATATTGTGATTTTTTTCATGTTTATATTTCAGTGTTGGTATTCTAGCCCCCAGTAGCATGACTACCTTTCTCATTCTTAAATTTCTAGCTTTGTATTCTTGTTAGGTAGAAGCTAGGACCAGTGGAAGGAGTGCCCTGAGACAGAGTCCCAAGTCCTTCAAGGGGAATGATAGAGACATGAGCTAGAGGCAAGGATGGGGATAAATAAGCTACACATTAGAAGTCCAGGAGCACAACATCCTGACCTTGTGGCTTCCAAGACCTTGGGGTTGACAGACCAAAGAGCCACAGGTGCAGAACTTGTGCTCTTCTCTTCCACTTCTGCCCCAGAGTAACCACTAGACTCGTTATAATGCATTTGCATTGTGGGTAGAGCCCCCCTCCCCCCCTTGGACAAAGGCTGCCTTGACAGGTACTAACCTTGTAGGGTCAAAAACTCCTCCTTCCAACCTGTGGGAGGAGTTTCCTAAATGATTGGAAGCCCCCTGCATTAGAGACCACCCTACTGTCCATCACAGCTCCTCCCAGCCCAGAGAGACCCAGTAATATCCAATCCCAAAATAACCCAGAGGCCAAGTAGACCTCTGGGAGCTTGCCTGCTCTCCCACCTTGAGATTGTACTTTCTGCTTTAATAAAGTGCTTTGCGCTTGCTACTTTCAGGCTGTCTTTATTAGAATGCAGGTCCTCATGTAAATCTTCTTGTGGTGAATTCAAGTACCGAGACCTTTGTTCACAGAACACAGACACTCTCACCCGTAACATTCTGATCTAGAGGTAGACTGTCCCTTTCCAGGCTTTGAAAAAACTAGTTTCAAAAGAGATGGTCTAAGTTTTAAGATGGTCTTTCATATCCTTCTAAAGCAGAGATGGTAGTTTCATATTTTAAAGACTTTTAGTCACTTTTTGCTGAAAGTGGAAAGGAAATAAGTCTACCAGATATTATAATACATAATTTATTTTTAAGATTTTATTTTTTGACAGAGACAGTGAGAGAGCTCGGAACACAAAAGCAGGGGGAGTGGGAGAGGGAGAAGCAGGCTTCCCGCTGAGCAGGAAGCCTGATGCAGGGCTCCATCCAAGGACCCTGGGATCATGACCTGAGCCAAAGGCAGATGCTTAACGACTGAGCCACCCAGATGCCCCCACAACTTTTTTTAACATTTAAGCAGAGGAAAAAGGCTAACAGTTACTACAAATATTACGTGATAAGTCACACAAAGAAAGCCAACTACCTTGCAGACAATGCGTAATGGAAAAAATTGGCTTTTAAAGATGATTATGCAGTTTTTCCATTGGTCCCCTTTCTCCTGTTCTGTTCTTCGAAATTGTCTTCAGTATTGTCTTTTTTTGCTCTTCTGTGTGAATTTTAGGATAAGCTTATTAGACACATCCACCATTTTTTAGCTATTGTGAACAAGACTTCTATAAACAAACTAGTACAAGTCTTTGTGTAAACGTATACTTTCATTTCTCCTGGATAAACACCTAGGAGTGGAATTGCTGGGTCATAGGGTAAATGAGAGGTAAAGCAGCCTTTTCCTGTTGGGACAGTCAATCTGTTTGTCTGGAGAGTAAATATATTTTAGACTTTGTATGGTCTCCTTTGCATGTTCTTTTTCTTCTTTTGACCCTTTAGAAATGTAAAAACCATTCTTAGCTTGTGGGCTATAAAAAACAAAACAACCCCCCCCCCCCAACCAAAACTGTCCTTAGATTGGATTTAGCTTGTGGGTGGGTGGTATTTTGTCAACTCCTGGCACAAATAGATGCATTTTTTTTTTTTTAAGATTTTATTTATTTATTTGACAGACAGCGAGAGAGGGAACACAAGCATGGGGAGTGGGAGAGGGAGAAGCAGGCTTCCCGTGGAGCAGGGAGCCCGATGTAGGGCTCGATCCCAGGACCCTGGGATCATGACCTTAGCTGAAGGCAGACGCTTAACTGACTGAGCCACCCAGGTGCCCCTAGATGCATGTTTATAAGAAGCTGCCAAACAGGTGTCCTACATGGTTGTGTCATATTCTGTTCCCACCAATAATGTCTGAGTGTTCATGTTGCTCTGTGTCCTTGCCCACACTTGGTTTTATCAGTCCTTTTTTTTTTTTTTTTAAAGATTTTATTTATTTATTTGACAGAGACACAGTGAGAGAAGGAGGACAAGCAGGGGGAGTGGGAGAGGGAAAAGCAGACTTCCCGTGGAGCAGGAGCCCGATGTGGGGCTTGCTCCCAGGACCCTGGGATCATGACCTGAGCCAAAGGCAGATGCTTAATGACTGAGCCACCCAGGTGTCCTAGTCCTTTTGATTTTTGCTATTCTACTGGTCATTATGTGTTCTCATTGTAGTTTTAATTTAAATTCTCTGATGAATATTGATGTTGAGTACCTTTTCATATTAATGGCCATTTATATTCTTAAGTGTTTGTTCAAACCATATAATTGGAAGAGTAGTACAGTGAATACTTGTATACCCTTTTCCTGGATTCACCAGTTGTTAACATTTTGATACGTTTGCTTATATCTGTATCCACATATATAAGTATATATTATGTTTCTTTTTTTTTTTTGCTAAAGAATTTGAAATTAAGTTACACTGTGGCATTTCACCCCTAAATACATCAGTATTTATTTCCAGGAAAAGGATATTCTCTTACATATACCTTATCAAAGCTAGGAAAATTACCAGTTATTCTATAGTAGCATATGCAAACTGTATTCAGATTTCCCCACTTGTCTCCAAATGTCTTTATTTTTTAAAAAAATATATTTTTTAAATTTATGGGAGGGAGAGAGAACAAGCAGGGGGAGTGGCAGAGGGAGAGGGAGAAGCAGGTTCCCCACTGGTCAGGGACCCCGATGTGGGGCTTGACCCCAGGGCCCTGAGATCATGACCTGAGCTGAAGGCAGATGCTTAACCAACTGAGCCACCCAGGCACCCCAAATGTCTTTATTTTTTTTTAACTTTTTTTTTTTCTTTTAATGTATGCTCTACACCCAACTTGGGGATTGAACTCATGACCCTAAGATGAAGGTGCTCCAATGACTAAGCCATCCAAATAAATGTCTTTAATATTTTTCTTTGACTTACGGTTCAATCAAGGTTCATGAATTGTATTTGTGTATTATGCCTCTTTAGTCTCTTAATCTAAAATAGTCCTATCTTTCCTCCTTTCTTTGATTTTCATGATACTGATATTTTGAGGACTTCATGCTAATTGGCTTAGAGATATTCTGGATTTTTTGGATTGTTTTCTCATGAATAGATTGTTTAAATATTTTTTGAGAAGAATACTTCATAAGTTATCTTACTATTGTATCCTATCAAGAGGTTCATAATGTTGGGTGGTTCTGGTTACACTAAGTTTGATGACTTGGTTGAGGTAGCTATTACCAGTTTTCTCCTCCTTTTTTTCTTTTGAAATTTTTTTTCCTCTTTTGAAATTTTTTGGGGGTGAATCTTTGACACCATGTGAATATTTGTCCCCCCAACAACCTCTCATCTAATATTTTTGCATCCACTGAA